CTGAGACCTCAGGAAGCAACAGCCTGTTTATACTGGTTTACCGTAATGGAGACGAGATGGACAGGGCGGGCGGGGGTGGGTGGGGACGGTGAGTGGGTGGGTGGGTGGGGACGGTGGGTGGGTGGGTGGGGACGGTGGGTGGGTGGGGACGGTGAGTGGGTGGGTGGGTCGGGACGGTGGGTGGGTGGGGACGGTGAGTGGGTGGGTGGGTCGGGACGGTGGGTGGGTGGGGACGGTGAGTGGGTGGGTGGGTCGGGACGGTGGGTGGGTGGGGACGGTGAGTGGGTGGGTGGGTGGGGACGGTGGGTGGGTGGGGACGGTGAGTGGGTGGGTGGGTCTGGACGGTGGGTGGGTGGGGACGGTGAGTGGGTGGGTGGGTCGGGACGGTGGGGGGGTGGGTGGGTGGGTGGTATGGTGGACTTGAACCCACAACCTTCTGATTGAGGGGCCAATGCGCTGACATTCGGCCAAGTTTGCACTGGACTATCAAACCGCGCTGAAGGAACCTCAAAGCAACCGAGAAGACGGGGGAAAGAGAAGGTCACAGGTTCAGGTTTGTGGGCAGAAGGAGTTCAGGTCAGAAACTGAGAGCGGAATCTACAGCTGGAGAAGATTTAACAGGAACCAGTGGTTTAAGACAGGATACGCAGCTCATTTAAGAAATCTCTTAATGCTAGAGTTTTTGTGGCTGTTTATGTTTGCGCGCGGGCGTGTGTGTGGGCGTGTTGGCTGGGTGTGTATGTGTTGTGTGTATTTGTGCGTGTGTTTCAGTGTGTGTGTATAAATGGGGCTGTGTGTGTGTGGGGTGAGTGGGTGTATGTGTGTGTGTAAGTGGGTGTACGTGTGTGTGTGTAGGTGTGTGTATGTATGTATTTGTGTGTGTATATAATAATAATAATAATAACTTGCATTTGATATAGCGCTTTTCACGTCGGGAGGACGTCCCAAAGCGCTTCACAGAACACACTGTAAAGTGAATTGACTATATATTTGTGGGCGAACGCGGCAGCCAATTGCGCACAGCAATGTCCCACAAACAGTCGTAGATTGAAAATGACCAATTTATTATTGTTTTTGGTTTTGGAGGATTATTATTAGGCTCTGTGTGGAGTAAGGAAACTTGCCCGAGGTTTCACCCTCTGCCTGGGATTGAACTCAGGTCTCTCGCTTGCAAAGCGAGTGCTCTAACCACTGAGCTACAGGACTCCACGATATATGTGTGTGTGTTTCAGTGTGTGTGTAAGTGGATGTAGGTGTGTGTATGTAGGTTTGTGTATGTGTAGGTGGGTGTGTGTAAGTGGGTGTGTGTAGGTGGCTGCAGGTGTGTGAGTGTATGGGGTGTAGGTATGTGTGTGTAAGTGTCTGTAGGTGTATGTGTGTAAGTGGGTATGTGTAAGTGTGTGTGTGTAGGTGGCTGTAGGTGTGTGTTTAGGTGGGTGTAAGTGTGCGTGTAGGTGGGTGTAAGTGTGTGTAGGTGGGTGTAAGTGTGTGTAGGTGGGTGTAAGTGTGTGTAGGTCGGTGTAAGTGTGTGTAGGTGGGTGTAAGTGTGTGTAGGTGGGTGTAAGTGTGTGTACGTGGGTGTAAGTGTGTGTAGGTGGGTGTAAGTGTGTGTAGGTGGGTGTAAGTGTGTGTAGGTGGGTGTAAGTGTGTGTAGGTGGGTGTAAGTGTGTGTAGGTGGGTGTAAGTGTGTGTAGGTGGGTGTAAGTGTGTGTAGGTGGGTGTAAGTGTGTGTAGGTGGGTGTAAGTGTGTGTAGGTGGGTGTAAGTGTGTGTAGGTGGGTGTAAGTGTGTGTAGGTGGGTGTAAGTGTGTGTAGGTGGGTGTAAGTGTGTGTAGGTGGGTGTAAGTGTGTGTAGGTGGGTGTAAGTGTGTGTAGGTGGGTGGGCGCGAGAGAGGTAGAAATTGACAAATATCTTAGTTTTCTGCTTAATACAAAGGAACATTATCAGTTTGAAAGTAAACGGTTCTCATTCCAAAGAAACAGGGAAGGTTTAAAATAAGTTGAGTCTTTCTTGCTGAGCAGCTAAAGAATATATAAAAAATATAAGCTCCGCAAAACCCTGCGGAGTTTAGAATTAAAACTAAAGTCAATATGGGAACCAATTATTTTAGTAAAGCAGAAAACATCTCTTCTGAGCGTTGTTTTTTTATTACGAGTTGCGACCGAATTGTTGGGCAATGAATCGTTTTCTCTGAAGGGAAAGCGTTACTTGGGAATCCTGTTTCTGTAGCTCAGGGGTTCGAGCCCTCTCCTCGCCAGCGAGAGGACCCGGGTTCGATTCCCGGGCGGGTCAGGTCAGGGCGAAACGTTGGGCAAATTTCCTTACACACAGTCACTACACTTTACAGTGTATCCGGTGAAGCACTTTGAGACGTCTCGAAGACGTGATGAGGCGCTACGCGGCGTTTTCAAATCCCTTCGCTCCCTGGCGCCCTCCGCTTGACTGGTCTCCAGTCTCCTGCTCGCCCTTCGCGCCCTCCACCCCACCAGCGCAGGTCGCGCTTTCAGCCGCTACGCCCCGAAGCCCTGTCACGCTCTCCCTCGTCCCCTCCGCCTCACCCCACCCCCCACCCCCCCACCCGTGCCTCTCTCCACCTTCCTCTTCGACCGTGCTTACGGCCATCTTCCCCGGCTCGGAGTCGGGCTCCGCCACTGCTAAGCGCTCCGCAAGTTGTTGTTGTTGCGCGAGTTGTCGTGCATTGGCGGATCGCTTTTCCGGGGATAATAACCCCTTTTCAAAACAAACAATAACAATAAGTTAGTCACGCGACCCACGGCGGTTTGTGTGGGGGCCGCTGCCGTGCGCAATTGGCTGCCGCGTTTCGCCCACAAAACCCACAGTCACTGCACTTGTATCCCGTGAAGCGCTTAACGTATTATGTTACCGCGGTGGGAGCGCGGCAAACTGTTAGCGACGAGCTCGGGAAGAGCGAGCGATACTGTTGGCGGCTCTGGGAAAGCTAACTGGTCAGTCTTCGGGCTGTGGTTCTGCACAGATGTCGCTGATTAAAACCAGCGACGGGAGCTCCATCCAGTGGCTTTTCCGAGCCCGATCCTTATTCTGAGGTCGTCTCAGAAACACTCGCAGCAATCGGATTAATTCTTAACAGATTGGTCGGTTCGATGAACCGGAGGCGCAATTCAAACACCCGTCAGCTCCCGAGGGGGCGAGGGAGGGGGTGGATTCGGGGGAGGGCTTGTGGTGCTGTGTTACGGCCCCCACAGTCATGATAGTATAATAATAATAATAATAATAATAATAATTATAATCCTTGCATTGCATACAGCGCCTCATCATGTCTTCGAGACGCCTCAAAGCGCTTCACAGGATACAGTGTAAAGTGTAGTGGCTGTGTGTTTTGCGGGTGAAACGCGGCAGCCAATTGCGCACAGTACCGTTCCACCCCCCCCCTCCCACCCCCCGCCGCCCCCCACAAACATCTTCTAACCTCTCCTGCTCCCTCCTCACCCCTCCAACCCCCGTAAAGTTGTCTTCAGATCAGGTCAGCGAAATCTGACAAGTCAAAGGATGCTTTTCCTTGTTGCATTTCATGCTTGGAAGGTAATGTTTGGCAAGACTTGAACCAAAGCCGCTGGAACTCCAAACCCGGTCCAAACCACCACAGTTACTGGCAAAGCCCAGCGGTTACTGTACACTAAAGCCTTGGCTCGCTCTGCAATTGTTAATTGGATTGAGTTCGTATTTCTCTTAGAACAACAGAAGTATTGGCGATTGTTGCACCATCTGATACTGGGCCTCAACACCAACTATCAGAGAAACCACCGTATTCCACCATCGTAGAAGCAGCAGGAGGCCATTCAGCCCCTCGAGCCTGTTCCGCCATTTTACAAGATCACGGCTGATCTGTACCTCAAGTCCAATTTCCCACCCTCGCCCCTTATCCCTTGATAAGGGACCTAACAAACGTTACCCACTTTCACAAGGCAACCAGGGATGTCCTCAGATAATAATAGTCCTTGCATGAGATGAGTCAAATAGAGGCTGAGCCAGGCTGGCCACAGGAAGATACCGGAATAGACATGTTGATGGTGGTGGGACGAGAGCTGGAGCTGTGTTTATTTGTTCTGTGAGACTCATGATTCAACCAGCTTACAATTCCTTATCTGCCGTGTCCTCTCCTGTACCAGGTCTCCGCGACCCTATCACCCCCCCCCCACCCATCCATCCTCGCCCGACTCCACTGGCTTCCCATCGCACAGAGGATGCAGTTCAAGATCCTGGTCCTCACCTTCAAAGCCCTCCATGGCTTTGTTCCCCCACCCGCTCCCTCCGCTTAGTGGGCTCCAGCCTGCTTCATGTCCATTGACAGTCAGGGATTTGGACCTGAGCTGGTGATTGGGATCAGGAAGGGGTGAAGAGTGGGGAGGGTGGTGGGGTAGGAGGGTGACCGAAGGCGCGGCCGAAGAGGGGGTCTTTTGATGGGTCTTGAAGGAGGGGAAGGAGGGGATGAGGCGGAGGGACTGTGGGATGGTGTTCCAGAGGATGGGGCCAAGGAGGCTGAAGGCCTGACCGACAATGGCGAGGCGGGGGAGGCGGGGGGGGACATGAAGCAGGTCAGAGCCCGCTGAGCGGAGGAAGCGAGCAGGATGGTAGGGGGTTGGGAGGTCGCAGGGTTGGGGGGGGTGAGGGCCTGGGGAGCGAGACCATGGAGGGCTTTGAAGGTGAGGACCAGGATCTTGAACTGTATCCTCTGTGCGATGGGAAGCCAGTGGAGTCGGGCGAGGATGGGGGCGAGTGGGTCAAGGAGCCTAGTGCGGGAGAGGACACGGGCTGCGGAGTTCTGGATGATCTTGATGAGACCAACGACACCCAGGGGGCTGGTGGACAAACCCCAAACCCACAGTCACTTTGCTACCAAAGAGAAGTGACAATGATTACTTGAGTCCCGGAGAATCGGGGGCTTTGCTGACTGTTATCTTGTGTTCTCTCCTTGCCCGCCCCCACCCCCCCACCTCCCCACCTCCCCAACACCCCCACAGCTCTGAAGATGAAGATCAAAGAGGTGAAGAAGGAGAACGGGGACAGGAAGATAATCCCGCAGAAGAAGAAAAAAGCCCTCAAACTCGGGCCACTCAAGAAAAAAGACCTGAAGAAACTGACCTTGTACATTAAGAATGGCGCGGAGTGTCCATGTCACCAACTGGACAATCTGAACACTAACTTTCTCATCATGGGACGCAAGGTCAACAAACAGAACCTCCTGACCGTAATCCACAGGTGGGACAAAAAGAGCAAGGAGGTCAAAAAAGCTGTGAAGAAAATGAAATCGCACGTGTGTCCCACATATCAGGGCGTCTTCAAATGATTCCCCCCCCCCCCCCGCCACCCCCCGCCCCTTGTTTGTTTGGTATCCAGATCACACCTCTCGACTTGCACAGGTTTTTTTGTTTTTTTTTCCCCCCTTTCTGTTTGTCGTTATTGTTGTTTAGTTTTGTTTTTTCGATTTGTGTGTTTTTTTTTCCCCCCGAAAACGTGTTTTTTGCGCGCGTGGTTTTCCCCCTTACGGTTATAGGATCGTTTTTCTCTTTCTCTCTGCGTTTTTTTTTCGAGTTACCGTTGTTTTTTTTTTCTATTTCTCTGTGTGCGCGTGTGTGCGTGTGTGTGTGCGTGTGTGTGTGCGCGTGTGTGTGTGCGTGTGTGTGCGCGTGTGTGTGTGTGTGTGTGTGCGTGGGCGTGGGGTGTGTGTTTAAAGAAAACACACAAGAATTCTCCATTTCACTCTCTTCACACTCTTCATTAAAGCCAGCGAGACAGACAGACCGACAGTCCGACAGACAAACAGACAGACACAGATATACAGACAGACAGACATAAACAGACAGACAGACGGATGGACGGATGGACACAGACAGACCGAAAGACAGACAGACAGACAGACACAGAGAGACACACAGACACAGACAGACAGACAGACAGACAGACAGACACACAGACAGACACACAGACACAGACAGACACAGAGAGACAGAGAGACAGACAGACGGACGGACGGACGGACACAGACGGACACAGACAGACGGCAGACAGACAGACAGACAGACAGACAGACAGACAGACACACAGACAGACAGACAGACAGACACAGACAGACACAGAGAGACAGAGAGACAGACAGACAGACAGACGGACGGACGGACACAGACAGACAGACGGCAGACAGACAGACAGACAGACAGACAGACAGACAGACAGACAGACAGACGGCAGACAGACAGACAGACAGACAGACAGACAGACAGACAGACAGTCAGACAGACAGACAGACAGACAGATGGGGCAGTTGCATTATAGATTTACAGCGGCGTTTCCGGGACTATTCAACAGCTCCAATGCCGGAAAATGAATAACCAGAAACCAATCAGAACTGTCAGCAGTTGCGTTGCGATTGTCCAGAACACGTCTGTGACACTGCGGCACATGATGTAACCTCTCGCTCCCCGGGACAGGTTTCTGTACAGAATGAGCGTTATCTCCTCAGTGACATGATATCAGTCTTAACTGAAGGTTGGCAAGTGCCCACTTGTGCAGCTCAGGGGTTCGAGCCCTCGCCTCGCGAGCGAGCGAGAGGACCCGGGTTCGATTCCCGGGCGGGTCAGGTCAGGGCCGAACATTGGGCAAGTTTCCTTACTCCCACACCCCCCGGGGGTAATAATCCGTTCAAAATAAATAATAATAATGATTTGGTCACTTCAATCCACGGCTGTTTGTGGGGGACGCTGCTGTGTGCCATTGGCTGCCGCCTTTCGCCCACAAAACACACAGTCACTACACTTTACAGTGTGTCCCATGAAGCGCTTTGAGACGTCTGGAAGACGTGATGAGGCGCCGGGTCAAACACAAGGATTATTATTGTGATTATTATTAATTTCGAGACAAATTCTGCCGGGGGAATCAGGTGCGTTATCGCAGGAAGTTTGGTCCTATCACCGAACTAAAAATACTCAATTGTCAGAATTTATAATTAAACGCAAATTTTCAACTCTCCCTCACCCTCAGACCCCTTCCCTTCCCCCCCCCCAAAAAAAAATATTCACCAGTTGCTCGGACCTGTGTAATTAGGAGTGCGTTCCTGACGTGACCTGTTGTTTTTTTTTCCTGGGGTTACAGTTTCACGCTTTTGACACAAAGCCTTTTCGTCTTCACGATCATCAACTCGTTTGGAAGATCGCAGTCTCGTGCGAGAGAGAGAGAGAGAGATAGAGAGAGAGAGAGAGAGAGAGAGACGGATTAGGAACCTTACAGAGATCTCCGTCTGAGCTGAAATCTCTCGTGTTTCGGGGCTAGATTTGAGAACTTTAGGTGAGACGCTTGCCGACTCATGTTTGACGCCGTGTATGTTAACTGCCTGACAAATCACGCAGTTCCGAAGGTAATCTACCTTGCGTGTGTGTGTGTGTGTGTGTGTGCGCGCGTGTGTGCGCGCGTGTGCGCGTGTGTGTGGGGGTGGGGGGAAGGGGGGAGGGATGGGGGCCTAAGCTTTATAATCATTTATGACTTTTCTTACAGACGTACAATTGCCCGGCAAAGCAATAGTACCACAGTATTTCTGTATCTTTATTTTAATTACTATCAATTCATTTATTCCAATAAAGTTATCGAACATAAGATGGTATGCAGACAGCTCAGAATTGTACCCGTGTTGTCATTTTTGATCTATGTACACTGTGAATATATTATCTCACCATGAGAAGACATTTCAGGATTATTAACTGGCTTCACTTTAGCTGTTTCGAACCGTTTGCATAATCAATGGTAGTTATTTGTAATTACGGCTGCCTTTTAAAAAAAAATAAACTGGTTAAAACGGACTCGAGATGGTTTCTCTCTGACCTCGAGCTTTCGTTCGGTGGGAACGACGACAGCACAAGGCATTCACACGGCAGCCTTTCACGTCGGGAGGACATCCCAAGGCTCTGGACAGTCAGGGATTTGGACCCGAGCTGGTGGTGAGAGGAGGGGTTGGTATCAGGGGAGGGTGGGGGTCGGAGGGTTGGTCGAAGAGGAGGGTATTGAGACGGACCTTGAATGAGGCGAGGGAGGGAGCGAGGTGAAGGGACTGTGGGATGGAGTTCCAAAGGGTGGGGGCAGAGAGGTTGAAGGGCTGATTGGTGATGGTGGGGCGGGCTGGGCTGGGCGGGGGGGTGGGGTGGTGAGGGGTGGGGCACAAGCAGCAGGCCAGAGGCCGCTGAGCGGAGGGAGGGGGCAGGTCGATAGAACCAAACAGCTGAAGGCATTTTTGGTTGAGCTTCTGTTTGATGGCAATCCTCCTTTTGTGTTTGAGTTACACGCTGGTCACCCAAACCTCGACAAAGCTCTGGGTTTTAGCCCTAAATCCCAGAGAACGGTAGAAATATTCTTACGTTCAGTCTTATATCTTAAGCTGCTTTTCCGTACTTCCTCAAAAGAAATTTGCAGTACACCCTACAAAGCAATGTTCTCACACAGCGAGTTGTTGGGATCTGGAATGCATTGCCTGAAAGGCCGGTGGGAACCGATTCGATAATAGGTTTTAAGAGAGAAGTAGATCATTATTTGCGGAGGACAAGTTTGCAGAGCTATGGGGAGAGAGCGGGGGAGTGGGGTTGATCAGGGCTATGGGGAGAGCGGGGGAGTGGGGTTGATCAGGGCTATGGGGAGAGAGCGGGAGTGGGGTTGATAGGGCTATGGGGAGAGAGCGGGGGAGTGGGGTTGATCAGGGCTATGGAGAGAGCGGGGAGTGGGGTTGATCAGGGCTATGGGGAGAGAGCGGGGGAGTGGGGTTGATCAGGGCTATGGGGAGAGGGGGGGAAGGGGGGGGGGAGTGGGGTTGATCAGGGCTATGGGGAGAGAGAGGGGGAGTGGGGTTGATCAGGGCTATGGGGAGAGAGAGGGGAGTGGGGTTGATCAGGGCTATGGGGAGAGCGGGGGAGTGGGGTTGATCAGGGCTATGGGGAGAGAGCGGGGGAGTAGGGGTTGATCAGGGCTATGGGGAAGGCGGGGGAGTGGGGTTGATCAGGGCTATGGGGAGAGAGCGGGGGAGTGGGGTTGATCAGGGCTATGGGGAGAGCGGGGGAGTGGGGTTGATCAGGGCTATGGGGAGAGAGCGGGGGAGTGGGGTTGATCAGGGCTATGGGGAGAGAGCGGGGAAGTGGGGTTGATCAGGGCTATGGGAGAGCGGGGATGGGGTGATCAGGGCTATGGGGAGAGAGCGGGGGGGTGGGTTGATCAGGGCTTGGGGAGGGGGGGAGTGGGGTTGATCAGGGCTAGGGGAGAGAGCGGGGGAGTGGGGTTGATCAGGGCTGTGGGGGGAGAGCGGGGGAGTGGGGTTGATCAGGGCTATGGGGAGAGAGCGGGGGAGTGGGGTTGATCAGGGCTGTGGGGGGAGAGCGGGGGAGTGGGGTTGATCAGGGCTATGGGGAGAGAGCGGGGGAGTGGGGTTGATTTGGAAGCTCTTTTCGAAGAGCCGACACAGACATGAAGGGCCGAATGGCCTCCTTCTGCACTGTATAGTTCTCTGACGGTTCCCTGTAGCTCAGGTCAGCCGTGCCTTTTGTGAATGGGTCGAGGAGATACCATTTTGAGTCTCGCGGAGCCGGGGGGGGGCGGGGGGGCGGGGGGGGGGGCTGGGGGGGGGGGGGGCAGGGGGGGCGGGGGGGCGGGCGGGGGGGACAGGCTGTAGGATTCCAAATCATTTCACACTGACAAGCAGCGCAGTACCACAGGAAGTGAATCCAGAGCCACATGGAAATAGTTGATCCATCAAGTCATGTTCTCAACGGCGTACAAATAGGATCCATATGCTTCAGAGCAACCGTTTTCGACTTAATTCCATAATAATTAATTGCATATGCACCGAACAAGCCCTTTTTGCAGTTGTTTTATCCTCGTGTGCAAACAAACCTTTGAAAGAAAGGTGATATTTAGTTTAACCCAGTCCATTAAACACAGCTGAAGTGATCCACATTACAGTGGGAGGTTTATCCAGTCCAGTCCTCGTGGGCCCCCATACCATGTGCTGAAAGTGTGTTTATATCCGTGGGATGTCGCATACGTTTCCATCTTCAAAGAGAGGAACCTGGCCAGAGAGTGGGGCAAAATGCTGTGGGCTCTCTCCCCAAGTCAACTGTAAGTGCCGTTTGTACCAAATAATAATAATAATAATAATAATCCTTGCCTTTTGATGCAGGGCCTTTATCGACGTCTCAAAGTGCTTCACACTTTACACTGTACGAATCCGACCACCCGAGAACCAGCGACAAAAATGTGGGCCAAATACTTTATTTGAGTTGAGGCCCAATAGTGTGACTGAGGGGGGAGAAAAAAAAATTATTGGA